TGCGCGTCTCCGAGCGGTGGCGCGGGGGCCTCCGCGCGCCGGCCGCGGCCTCCTCGGGCGCGCGCTCCGTTTCGGGCCGCCAGTTGACGGTGGCGCGGTTGCGGATGTTCTGGGCGCGGCTGGCGTAGTTGAGGGTGTTGAGGGTCTCGTCGAAGTCGGAGGAGGAGGGGCTGACGCAGGCGATCATCACCGTCTTGGCGTTCCCGCCCAGCGAGTCTTTGAGGATCCTGAGGACGCCAGGTGGGGCGCGTCAGGGGCCCCAGCGCGCCCGGACCCCGAATCGTACCCCGCGGGCCGGCACCTCGGACTGGTGGACGGCGCGCCCCGAAGCCAGATGGGACCCATCCCTTACTCGCCTCCTCCCGCTCAGCAGCCCGAGAGGGGCCCCTGCTCCCGTGGGCCGCCGGCCGCAGGGCCCTCACCGGGTGATCTTGGAGTCCCGGTAGGGGATGTGGCTGCCGCGGCGCTGGGGGTCGCCCAGGGCGCTGATGACGTTGCCCAGCGCCAGGAGGCTGCTGTTGATCTGGATGCTCTCCTTGAGCCGCTCGCCCGTGCTGCCCGTCTTGAGCACCCTCTCCGAGCCCGCCAGGTCCACGAAGTGGAACTTGGACACGAGCAGCTGGCCCGCGGCGGGTCGGGGCAGACGGCTGGGGGCGCGCCCCCGCTGCTCCAGGGTCACGGTGAAGACGGTGTGTGAGCGGCTGGACAGGCGGTTGAGGTGTGTGGCCCCCGTGTGCCGCGCCGCGTTGCCCATCTCCAGGAGGCTCAGCACCTCGTCCAGGCCTTCCACGTCCACCTCCTTCACGCCACACAGCACTGCGGGCACGGAAGGCGGTGAGCCCGGGCCAGGGGCTGCCCGGGACTGCCCGGCCAGGAGGGCAGGCAGAGCAGGGCTGGCCCTCTACGGCTCTTCCTGACCCAGGTGCCCCTTCCCCATGCCCGGGACACCCGGGGGGTAGGGGGTGGCGTGTCCTGTTCATCCTGGCTCGGGCCTCGGGGCTCCAGCTTGTCCCAAGCCCACCTCAATGCCTTGCACTCTGGGTACAGAAGTATATACTGAACTCACGGGAGACAGGAGCCAGGAAGGCACAACCTTCCAGAGCTTGGGTTCCCCAGTTGGGAGGTACCCCTCCCGGACGGGTGAACCACCCCTCAGCAGGTGAAGCCCCACTCCCAGCCAGTGGAGGCCCTGGGAGGTCCTCACCAACATTTCCCCGATCATCCTCCCGAAGCTGGATGTCACGGCTGGCAGTGCCCACCTCCAGCAGGTCCCGGAACTCCTCCTTATACACTTCCAGGTAGGACACATGCACCAGGCAGTCCAGCAGGTCATTCTCATCGATAAGCTTGAAGGCTTCAGCCATGGCCCGTGGGATGATGCCCTGCTCGTCCTCATGAAGGGACGCTGGGGACACACCACAGAGCCTCCTGCCACCATGCCTTCAGCTGGACAGGGCTCAAGGCCGCAAGGCCCCTGCCAGCAACTGGAGGCTGGGGCTCCAGCATGAAGGCAACAGCAGAGGCCAGGATGGCTGGGTAGCCTGAGCCAGCCCATGCTCCAGGGTGGTCAGGCAGAATTATAGAATTTCAGAGTTGGAAGCAACCTCTCAAGGTCCCACCAACCCCTCTCATGATGTAAGCATCCCTTCCACTACATCCCTGCTAGATCAGCAGATACCCCTGGGTTGATTACTCCCCAGGACAGGGAGCTCATTACTACAGTCTAGGCTCAGTTATCGAAAGGACCTCCTAAATTTATCCCAAGGGAGTAATAAGAGGATATTCAGAGCAGCACTCTTCATAACTTCAAAAAAATTCAAAAGTCCTAAGATCCAATAGGGGATCTGGTTAAATAAATTATCTCATATATACCATAGAATGCCAAGCCACCCTTAAAAAATTAGCTTGAAAAATAAATAAATAATTAGCTTGAACAATAATGATATAGAGAAATGTTTATGATAGATTGTTAAGAAAAATAAACAGGATATAAAAGAATGGGTATAATATAATCCCATTTAATCTCTTCAGAGAAAGAAATTGGAATGCTAACAGGGCTGAAAAGCAATTATCAAGTAAGTTTTCTTTTGTGCTTGTGTTTTTCTGTATTTTCCTAATTTTGCATGACAAACATGGATACTTTTATAACCTAAGAGAAATGGGGGCAGTGAAAATGGGGGCAGTTCCTTCAACTGGCCCAGAGCATCTCTCCCAAGAGTCTGCTCCCGAGCTCCACTGAACTGCCTGCTCCCTCACCAGGCGGCAGCCAAAGCACGGCTCTCCCAGGACCGTCCCCATTCCAACTACTCTGACTCTGACTCAAACACGGATTCCTGACCCTTGGCAGGCATCCCGACAACCTCCAGAGACAAGCCGACTTCTCTCCCCTTTCCGCCCGCTGAGATCACCAGAACCACATAGTGTGACCTCGTTTCTGGAGCCGAAAGGCCCCCCACCTCCAAGGACTCTCCCTTCCTCCGCCGGTCAGCCTACTGCCATGGCTGGTCCCCCCAGTGGGCTGCAGATCTGAGGAGGAAAGCTGCTCTCCTTCCCCCAGCGCTCCCACCTTCGACAGGGAACGGCAAAGGCAGAAGTTTCGGCGACAGCGAGGCCCCTCAGCACGGGGCCCGGGGCCTCAGGCAGGGTCACTCACCCACACTGGCCTCCCCCATGGTGTATGTCTTCCCGGAGCCTGTCTGACCGTACGCAAAGACCGTGGCATTGAAGCCCTCAAAGAAAGCCTCGAGGAGGGGCTGCACACAGGCCCGGTACACGGCCTCCTGCCCGGCGTCCTCAGCCAGCACCACGTGGAAGCCAAAGTGGCGGTCTCGCCCAAGGGTGACGTGGCTGTGCTGAGGCTCCGCCCTCACGCAGCTCTGGTGCCCATGCAGCAGCTCCTTGGGCAGCAGCGGACGGACTCTCAGGGCCACCCTCACCGGGGCCTCCTCAGCCCCTGGCAGCCTCTGGCTCTCCAGCCCCATGCTGGGGAGGGGGGGGCTCCTCCTGGCCCTAGAGAGAGAGCAAGAGGCCCCTCCCATCAGCACCTGTACCCCAGGGGCTGGACCCACCCCGCAGCTGACCTGGAGCCACATCCTGGGGCTCCTGACCTTGGAGAGCAGGGAGGGAGGGTGATTAAAGTTCAGAGCGTCCTCTGCACCAGCCTGGTGCCCAAATACTGCAGGGGCCGACTCAGTCCTGCAGGTAACCCTTCATGGCCCCCATCACTGGCAAAACAGGCCCTAACTCCACCACCTGAGTCCCATGGGCTCCCGTGTTCTAGCTGTACCCTTCCCCTGGAACCCCATCTCCTAGGACACCCCCCCCAATACCACCACCACCACACCAGGGAACTCCTTTCCCCAGTACCCACTGGGGTCTCCATAATCTCTGCCTTTGTCACCTCACATCCCCGCCCCACCTTCTTCAAAACAGTCAGATCCTTCGAGACCAAGTTCCCGCCACCAGATCTGCCAATTCCATCTCCTAAATATCTCTCAGGTTCACCTGCTTCTCCCCATCCTATGGCCAAAGCCCGGGTCCTGGCCACTGACCTCTTGACCAGCTTCCTCACTGCTCTCCGCCTCCCTGTGCCCTCCGCCAGGACAACCAGGGGCATCTTTCAAAATTGCAAAAGCAATCCTGTTATTCTCCTGCTTAAACTCTCCCCAAAGAGGCTCCCCACTGCCCTTGATCGTCCAAAGTCTAACAGCCCTGTCTACCTTGTCTACTAACATCCTGCACCCCACCTTTGCCCACCTTTGCTCACCTTTCTCTGCTTGCAACACACTCCCATCTCTCCCGGGCTTACACACACACACACACACACACACACACACACAGTGCCCAGTGGTGCTCCCACCAGCCACTGGCTGCTCTGTTGCAGACGGAGCCGGGAGGCAGGGACCCTGCTGTCCCGTTTCGTGCTGCATCATCAGCGCCCAGCACAAGGTCGGTCGCTTAGTAGCTGCCCAACAGTGATGATGAAACTGCATCCAAAAAACTTTCCCCGTCCCCATTCTCCTCTTATCGCAGTCCACACCGCCCCCTACCCCCGGGCCCACAGCCCTCAACTTGTCACTAACTCTCAACACATGTAACGGTTCGTCCGTTCCCTCACTCATCCAGTCCCTCCCGGGTGCCGGGCCCTGGGGACACAGCGGGAACCATCGCGCAATACAGTGGGCTCCTCCGCGCGCCCCGCACCCTGAGCTCTTCCAGCGCCGCGCGCCGAGGGCGCCCGGACAACTCCACCGGTGCGGTCGGGCGCTGGAGGAGGAGGGCACCGGACAGGAGCTCCCGGAGTTTGGAAAAGTGATTACAAATGCGGACCCGACCCTCGCAGCGTCGGCGCTCGCTCCTCCCGCCCAGGCCCGGGATGCTGGCCTCAGGCCCCCGACTTAGGGAAGGGGGTGCTCCCGCCCGCCCAGGAAAGGGCCTCCAGGAGGCTGGTACGCAAGGATGGGGGTTCCTCGTGCTCGGTCAGAGCTCCCCAGGTGCCGGCCCCCCCCCGCCACCCGGCCCAGGCCTGCGCGGGGAGGGGGCGAGCGCGCGCCTCCCCCCACCCGCCCCGTCTTCGACCTCCACCCCTCCCGGGCCCACACCCACCTGCTTGGGTGGGAGCACAGTCCCCCCCCGCGGTGCAGTCAGCCTCCGAGCCTCCGCGCGGCGCGCTCCGATGCCGTCATCGGGACCCCCGCCCCCCAAAACATCCCGCCCCTCACCCGCAACTCCGCCCGCCTGGGCTCTCGGGGGCGGAGGCGCGAGCCGGGCGGCGCCGCAGAGTCTGTCCGCAGACGGGGCGGGGCCAGGGCTGAAGGGGCGGGGTTTGGAGGGGCCTCGTCAGAGGGGCGGGGTCATACGTCCCAAGGGGTGGGGGGCCCAGCGCGGTCCGGGGCTGCAGACGCTGCTCTCTGATTCCAGCGCAGACTTGCGGAATTCTGGGGACACGGCGACCACCAAGGCCCGCCTGATGCTCCGAGCTGGAGAAGCCCACCTGCTCAGGGAGCGGGGCACCTATATCTTACAATGCAAGTTGCAACAGGTGAGAAGACGAAAACAAACAAGGAGACTTCGCTCCGCGAGGGGAGGTTGGGTTTTCCAACCCTAGACTCTGAATAACAGTGGACGAAAGATAAGCTACTGTTTGTTCATTAATTCATTGGTTCAGGTGCAGACCTTTTCTCCTCCCGCCATTGCTACCCCTGTATCTCTTCGCAGCACTCCCTACGCCCCCCCAAAGCTCAGCAAAGCTCTCCCTTCCCCATCCCCAGGAAGCCTCCACCCTCCTTTTCTCTCTAAAGCTGAGAATGATCCATCCCCCAGGAGATTTTCGAGATTGGGCTAGAGGCCCACTCCACCCTGTGTGAATGGGCCCTAGCTGCACCCTCTGCACTCACACCAGAGTCGGCGCTGTGCCCCTTCCCCGCCAAGACCCGGGTGGGGTGGTGGGGCGGTGGATGCCACCAGGAAGCCGGCAAGCCAGACAGAGCGCAGGATGGAGGCTGCCCCTGGGGGAGCCTCACCAGGGCAGGCCCTGACAAGGCGTGGCTCCACAGCCCTGGCTTGGAAGCCCCCAGTTTAAAATGAGCAGGGGAACCACTGGTCTATTGGTAGACTGCACGGCTACCCAGCCTCGGGTTCCTGGAGGGACAAGTGCCCCAGAAAGAGGCCACTGGGAGGTGAGGTTGTAGAGTTCTCAGCCAACCTCTCTAGTTAGGGAGGTTATTCTGGGTGAACAGCTAGGGGAACCTTGCAGAGGTATTCATCCTGCATTTACCTGGGCAGGTGCTGCCCAAGGGACTGCCCCACACATCACTTCCAGTGTGTCGCCCACCATCCACCCCAGCACTCCAGCCATCCTTGTCTCCTCCTCTCATCCTGACTGCCCCTCCCCCATAGCTTCCAGTCCAGGCAAAGCTCTTTGTCCTCTACACCCTGGCCACCCAAGCCACCATCTGGGCCACTGGAGAGCCTCTTCACTGGTCTCCCCCCTGTCCCGTAACACACGCCAGTTAAAATAAAGAGCACAACGTATGAAGGAGGCGGGTAAGAACAATCAATGTCTTGGAGGTCAATGTCTTCCAACTCTTATTCTCTTTGTGTCTTAGTCCATTCAGGCTGATATAACAAAATGTCAGATGCCCAGACTGGACAGCTTATAAACAGCAGACATTTATTTCTCAAGTTTTGGGGGCTGGGAAGTCCAAGATCATGGCACTGGAAGATTCAGTGTCAGATGAGGGCGCACTTCCTGGATGTCCCAGAGGGTCCAGGTCACAGTGTGCTCACATGGCAGAAGAGACAAGCTAACTCTCTGAGTCCTCTTCTATATGGACATCGACCCCAACCATGAGGGCTCCACTCTCATGACCTAATCACCTCCCAAAGGCCCCACCTTGAGGGTTAGGATTTCAACATATGAACCTGCAGGGGGACACAAACATTCAGACTACGGCCCTACGATATGCAAGCACATACATACATATTACACACGTATAATACACATATTGTCACTTATCCATTGTACCTACTAAGCCATTAGTAGGTCCACTGACCTACTGAGAGGTCCTTGAAAGGAGTGTGCCTTATTTACCCCTGTGTCTCTTTTCCTTGGCCCATGGTCTGGCACCGTCACTCCATAGAGGTTTTCAGTAAAAGCTATTGAAGAAAGGAAGGAAACCCTTTTTGCATTAGCAGAAATATGGATATGGATCACTATGGCTCATGTTTTCATATCGTAGGCACAAAGTGACAGAAGGGCACTTAGGACACATCTGGAGAATAAAGAAGCATCCTCTTGATGGCATTTTATGCTTTAGAAGTCAAGGCCCACATCTGGAGGCCATCCTGTCCTCAGCTCAGAGTCCCGTCTTCAGTCACCTCTGTTTTGTACTCTCAGTCCTGAACCCCCCCCAAAAAACAGTAGAAATGTCTATCTCCCCACATCAAAAAAAAATGCTTCCTCATTTCTAAGACTCCCATTTTCTCACATTGTCACATTTGTGAAATGGAGTTGCATCTTGTAGTCATTCCCCGGGGAAGCGTGGCACCAGGAGAGGTGATGGGGACGTCCACCGGCCACCTCAAGGAGATGGTGTCTTCTTCACCTCCGTGACCTCTGATGGACTGGTTGCACTGGGAGCACCACGTGTGGTTGAATTTTAATTAAAATCTAAAAACATATTTGTCACATTAAATGTCATTAGAAAAATTGAACTCCGGGGGTGCCTGGGTGGCTCAGTCATTAAGCAGGTCATGGTCCCAGGGTCCTAGGATCGAGCCCCGCATCGGGCTTCCTGCTCAGCGGGAAGCCTGCTTTTCCCTCTCCCACTCCCCTTGCTTGTGTTCCCTCTCTTGCTGTGTCTCTCTCTGGCAAATAAATAAAATCTTTTAAAAAAAGAAAAGAGAGAAAAATTGAACTCCACTGCAGTAGAGAAATTTATTATGTATACAGAAGATTGCCTGTCATAGACAGGCAATGCAATTAAAGGCTGTAGAAGTTACCAAGTCTCTCTGGATAGATCTATATTAGGAAGCCCTCAGCTTCAAGGAACACAACCATAACTCGATGTGGCTTGAACAATAAGGCTGTGTGTTATCTCAGCTGAAAGACAAGAGGGAGGAGGCTCTGGGGCAGGTTGGGTCAGTGGCAGTGTGACAGAGGACCTGGCTTGTCTCTTTCCCCAGCCATCACCTTCCACCATAAAACATCCAGAGGAGGAAGAGAGCACCCTATCATGCTGCACTCTTCGGATCGAAGGAACTTTTCCTGGGAGCCCTAAGAGCGGCTTTCCCTCACATCTCTTGTACCGCATGGCTTAGGGCTGCTGCCCGGGAAGTAACCACTGTAATGTTTGACTTCCAGAATGACTATGACGGCTTAGAATATGAACATGAGACAGGTCTGCATGGTGTTGGCAAATGTGATGGTTCATTTTATGTATCCACTTGACTGGGCCAGGGACTGCCCAGATATTTGGTCAAACATTACTTTAGATGTCTCTGTGAGGGCGTTTTTAGGGTGAGATTAACGTATAAATTGGTGAACTTTGAGTAAAGCAGATCACTCTCCCCATTGGTGGGAACTTGACACGCTTTGGTCAATGGAATCTGAGGAGATAGGATGCAAGCAGAGGGCTGTGATTTGTTGTGGGAGAGCATGCCCCAGAGAGCCACTGACCCTTACTTACCCTGGATCCCTGAAATAGTACACCTGGAGCAGATCTGAACTCATGCACAGCCTGAAGCCAAGTTCAGATGATCCACAGGCCAGAGCAGAGCCACTTGGAGTGCCACAGGGGTGAGCTGAACCGCAGTCGACCTGCTGACCCACAAACGTAAGAATAAATGTATGTTGTCGTAGCCATAATCTGTAGGATATTTGTTATGCAGCAATATTATGGCAAAGGCTGACTAATACACATTGTTATTTAGGGCTTTCTATCTCTCAAAACAGAATCAATTCTAATACAAATGACTAAGTTAATATATTTGATATTAATATACTAATTTTACATATGTATTAAATATAAAACGTATTTGTCTTAGTCCATTTGGGCTGCTATCACCAAATACCACAGACTGGGTAGCTTATACACAATGGAATTTATTTCTTACAGTTCTGAAGGCTGGGAAGTCCAACAACATCATAGTGCCAGCATGGTCATGTTCCAGTGATGGCCCTCTTCTTGGTTCATAGCCGGTGCCTCTTGCTGGGTCCTCACATGGTGGAAGGGGCAAGGGAGCTCTCTGGGGCCTCTTTTATAAAGACACTAATCCCATGACCTCATCACCTCCCCAAAGCCCTACCTCCTTATCCTATCATCTTTGGGGATAGGATTTCAACATATGAATTTGGGGGGGGATACAATCAGACCACAGCAATATTTGCATAATAAAAAAAATCTCTAGTGAAAATGAGTGACTCTCAGGAACTTCATTTTGAGTGAAAAAAAATAAGTCTCAGAAGAATACATATAATTCCGCTTAAAGTTCAAAGCCTGCAAAACGAAATAGTATTGGAATGAGGTATATGGATAGGAAAGGAATCTATAAAGCAAAGCAAAGGTACAGTAAACACAAAATTCCAGATTATGGTTCCTGGGGGCAGGGCCAGGGTGGGAATGGAGAAGCCAGACAGGACGTTCTAACGGGTGCTCGCTTCGGCAGCACATATACTAAAAATAGGACGTTCTAACGGTACCGCTCACATTCTGTCTCTTACGTTGAGTGGTGGGTAGAAGAAGGGTCCACCCAGCAGGACATGCAGGCTTAGTCCCCTCTTTGCAGACAGGGGACCCTCTGGATGCCTGCTAACTATAGTGAGATCCGATGAGACATGTAGAAGTTTCCACTGATTCAGGGTTTATAGGAATATGTAAGAGAATTTGACTTCTGTTTGTGACCAACATTTCAAGATTTAAAATAATTTGATTTATGCATCTTACAAGTTTTGATTAAGCATGAAGTGTTTAAATGTTTAGGAAAATTCTGCTTCATACAATGAGCAAGAAAGCCCAAGTCACAGGGCTGTCTCCAGACACAGAAGTCCTTCAGATATTAAGATCCTGAATAATTATGGAAGAAAAAAGTGGTAAATAACTGCATGGATAAATGTATTTTGTGGTTGGTAATGGTTCTTTTTCCATCTCCAAAAGTTGTGATTGAGTTGGAGGTGCATTTTGTGAGCTGGACTAGAAGAGAGGGGGTAAGGTGTTTCTCTGGAGAGGGGCC